GCCGAGGCCCTACCACCGTTAAACTGTTTTCGTTTTATCGTCATGCATTGTAAAGCGTTGGTTTGGGATTTGTCTAAATAAATCTCCATAGCTTATGAGTAAGCACTATACCAGGTAATTTTGTGCACTTTTCAGCAAGCTTGTATTTCTATTTGCATTTTATGTGAGAGGAGTTGGGTAATAATTCACAACGTCCACTACGACCTAGAAGATGTATTGTAGTCTTCCCTTCAAAAACACTGCACCTTCCAGTAGGATAACATTATCCTGTTTTCTAACAAGAAATTCACGTGGACAAACACCCAGATCCGAAACGACTTTCTTGGATGAAATGTGGAAATCGAGCCCACAAACTCGGCGGTGACCCCACTACCTTGGCAACGGCACCACGGAGTCAATGAGTAAGCTTACTTCTAATCCAACTATGACAGGAGACAAGCCTATGTTTAAATATGGGAAAAGCTTAAATATGGGACAAGCTTGAATATGGGACAAGCTTAAATATGGGACAAGCTTAAATATGGAAAAAACTTAAATATGGGACAGTGTTGTTCTTACGTAGGAAGTTACCAAAATGGAATATTCAGTAAACCACTCCACTGGGATTCAAATCTGCGACATTAAAAAGCACACGACAGTCCAGTTGCTGGGTCCCCAGAGTATTTCGATTGCTAAAATATTTAATTCATGTGGTAGATTTAAAAAAATGACTATCGATAAATGAAATGTATATTTCTTATTTCGATGAATAAATGATTTGAATTTGAATTTGAATTGGAATTGGAATCAAATCAATTCCTACGACAGTGATAGGTAACCAATCACTCACTCGATACCAGTTAAGTTAAAAACAAAGCGAAAGTTTTACTTGTTGTGCTTCGTGTCTTCTTTCTGTCTGTCGCTTACTGTCGCATTCGATTAAAGTGCACATGAATCAATCTTAATGATTCGTTTCACAAGACCGGTGTACATTATTTGAATCACGTCTAATGAATATTTTCATTATAAACTTAAAAAAAATGTACAATGCAGAATGCTTCTTAGTAATGATTTTTCATGCTTAAAGGATTTGTAATTATGAGTTTAAATGCTCAAATGATTTATTAATGTATGTAAAATGATTTATCATGCTCGTTGAGTAAAAACATTATTCTTTGTCTTAATAAAAAATGGGTAGTGTGTTTTATTAAGAACTACTCGACAGTTTCAAAGCAAAAGAATAATTTCGATTTTCATTCACTCGCACACGTATAAAAAAATTATGACAATATAATTATTAATGAACATTATTAATAACATCATTATATTAGTACCAGACAAACTTTATTACAGAGGTTGATGAGTATGTCACATACTCTGTAATTAACATATCATCGTGGATGACTGACAATAAAAATGAATGTATGTAAAAGTAATTTTTACAGTCTTAAAAATATTTATGAACATACTAATGGCTACCAAAATGAGATTAATTATGAAATGTTTCTTATGTAGCATTTAATATTTACATGACTATTTAATTTTATTATAAAAAATATATATAAAGTTAATTAACAATAGAATGCTGTACAAATAAAGAATACTAGCAAATACTTCTACTTATAGTATTGATAGTATTGTAATAACTCAAAGGCAGAGCTGTCAACATTTATAATATGAAACTTCCATCCAGAAGAGTTAACATTGGTAGGATAGAAGTAATGATTGTAGTAATCAAGTAAACAATGTTATTCGGTTGAAGTTTCATCATATCCAAGGGCGAAGAATTTCAATGGAACCCAATAATTGTCAACACTACACTTTGCGTTCTGTTGTACGAAGAAAATAACCTTGTGCATGGGCCCAAGATAGGTACGCGCTTTAAGTAAAGCTAGCGCAAAGCCCGACACTAGGGATGCGAAAAAATATCGATATTTTTTATTTTATACATCGAAAATATATATTTCTAAAATATGCAGGTTTCCTCACGATGTTTTCCTTCACCGCGGAGCACGTGATAATTATGCACTTAAAATAACAATTTAATTGGTGCCGGCACCAGGGATCCACCTCAGGTTGCTCGAGTATAATGAATTACAGGCGAGCGCCCGGACACTGAGCTATCACGGCTCAATATTTCGCTCAATACTTGACATACCTTTTTTTTGGACGACGGAGTTTTTAGAATCGAAAGAGCAAATCTATATCGATATATCGATCTCTGCGATATATCGAGGCCGATGTTGATATTTTTATAAATATATCGATATATTTCTTCACTTTCGACATCCCTACCCGACACCCTGTGGGAAATAAGTAGCGACAAGTAAACTGTTTTCGAAGCGAACGGGGATTTAAAATTCATTACCAGTCTGCTGGCCCCCCGTGACGAGCGAGCGGAGCGGCTCAAGGAAATCTCATTCGTGGAAGGAAATTTCATTAACCATTATGTATCTTGCTAAGGGAATAATAATCACGTTTTTATTCTCAAAAGTTTATAGCAGGCATTATAAAACGAATAGAGTTTTTATAAAACATACATACTTGTATAAAACATGATACAGACGGTAAATTCTTTTTTTATGTCTTTCTGTGCACCTACCTAATCTTCTCTGCGGTACAGAGGTTGACCTAAGGTTGACTGGGAGATAATGCCTTTGGCATTAAGTCCGCCTTTGTACTTTTAGTGCATAAATGATAAATCATCAAATAAACACAATCACAATCCAACTTCGAGTGGACTGCCTACACGCTCACAAAGCTATCCCAAAAACACTAGACGCACAATAAAAACCTCAAACAATGAGTTTTTTAATATACTTTAGGTTCGATTTTTTAAATCTCTTATACTAGTCTTGAGTAATTGTGGAAATGTGCTCAACTTTTAAGACTTAAAATGGAAAACGTGCCCAATATGTACAAGAAATGTAGAACAATTAACTATAAATGAAAAAACTTACACATCACTTTAATAATAAATGGAGGTGCAAAATTTTTAATTGAACTAATAATGTATAAATTATATCGTATATGCCACACTTGCCCCAAGTTTTGTATTTTAAATCTTCGTTCGTTTTTGTATTGCCTCACTTTATTTGAATTTTTATGTTTTTAATTTTACAGTACTTTCATCTTCTCTACTTCTGATACGGCAGTTTTATTATCTGTGCTATCTTGTCAGAATGGCAAATTGTGTCTATAAAAAGTCCTTATTCCCTTTATAGGTTGTCCAATCTTAGGGTTCTTAGATTGTTTTAAAATGAACGGAAGTTTAAATAATATACCAATTTTACACAAAATTATTCTTAAGTATTTAACGATTCACACTTCGTTATTGCATAATTACTTCCGACCCAACAGTAAAGTATTTTTTGTGACATAACAATTCAGTACGGTAAGTAATGTTATATTACAGATATTTACAAAAGTAAAAAATATCTACACTCGTTTTTAAAGATAAATAACATTTAATTGTGACTATTGCTATTCAATCAATCAATGAAAAGTGGTTCAATTAAACAAACAAATGAAAAGTGGTTGAACATTCTAAAAATCATAAATTTATAAACATTTACTTTTAACTGTCTTATAGATGGGTTGACTGGTAGAGAATGCAAACAGTCCGCCTTTGGAAATCTTTTGAAGGTGTTCCAATTAAGAATAAATAAATAAATAGGCATCTAAAGTATGCAAAATGTATTCGACTATTATGCTGCAACTAAAATGGGAACAATTATTTTCAGTATAATAAGGAAATCGAATCGGGATCGTGTGTTCGATTCCCACACGGGACAACTATTTGTGTGACCCACAGATAGTTGTTCCGCATCTGGGTATTTGTCCGCGTGAAATTTATGTTTATAAAACCTCCTTACAGTACAGGATAATGTTATGCCAAAGTAAAGGCAATGTTTTAATCAAAAAAAAAATAATAAAGAAAGAAAGTAAGAAAATATTTTCATTCTTTGACGTTCTCAGCACTAGCCCACTGACTGTTATCTCTGTATCAAGATAATCCGTTGCCTGCTCCCGGCCCCTTCATCCGCTCTTACCCTATTTAGCTCTAACCTACAGAGCATTAGTTGCACGGAAGCACTTTACTAAGTAATGCTGTAATTAACGCCCATCGGTTTCGCTGTCTATCTTCGTATGCACTTATATAAAACCGGCCAAGTGCGAGTCGTGCTCGCGCACGAAGGGTTCCGTACCATTATATATAAAAGGGGCAAAAAATCTACTTTTCATATTGCACACTAAATGCCAAGCATAGCTAACAACCTTGAGTGCAAAGAACAGCACTGAAAAAATAATATAATTTATATTTAAAATGTATATTAAAACGGCCATGCATTTTCTGATGAATATTTGTCTTATGTATTATACAGGGAGGCTTTTTTAAGTGTATCCATTTTTTTTTAGTAAATTCTAGACACAAATAATGTTATATAAAAATGATAACTATTAAAAATCACTAGTGATTAATTAAATATTCGAACCTATCTCAAACAGTGCGTGATTTATGGGCACCTCATTTATTTTACGCGCGATCAGTCATAACTAACACGCACACAAGTTCGTTTCAAAAGTATACGACGCATTTATTAATGACTACCGCATTGTCAACAAGTTCTGTTTTCTAAGGAATGAAGTGGCAATTTTTTTGAAAAAAAAAGTTTGTTTTTATTTCAATAAACGATTATAATACCGAGTCTGAATTTGGGTGTGAATTTGGGCACCTTTAGAAAAGCCACCCTGTATAAATACAGGAGCGTACTTAACTAATCAATAAAATTATCAATCACTACTTATGTTAATAATAATAATGATGGACATAATTCATGTGAACATCAATAAATATAAGTGAACGTTAAATACGTTATTATTATATTATTAAATTATATAAGTAAATAATAATATTATAAAAGTTATATAAGTTTACATAGTATTTGTACTTAATACGAATTTATATAAAAGCTATAGGAAACATATATTAACTAGTACATATATTTGTTATACTATCATATATTTTTGTCTGCGCCCTGTCTCGGCTCTGGTGGGATTGTCAAAGCGTTCGCACCGTGCTTAAGGATCTCGGTCTGAAAGCAAAACACATAGTTAAATGAAGAGAATTCAAACAGAAAGTCATAAGTTTTTAACTAAACTATTTTAAACCTTCTTGCTCACGGTAGTGTTAGCTCAGTGCATGGGCTTAATTTAATGTAATGGAGCAATGTGCGTTCAAATTCCGGCGCCAGCACCATTGAAATTGTTAATTATAAGTGCTGACTTTATATCTCGCGCTAGGCGGTGAAGGAAAATATCGTCACGAAACCTGCATATTTTCAAATTAAAAACAAACAAAATATTTCGCTCATATGTGAAGTCTGTTAATGCGCAGTGAAATCGCGCGGTAGACTATGCCCTTATACCCTATGTACAGAGGAGGCCTTTGCCCAACAGTGGGACATGTATATTTTTTACTTTTGCTCACAGTCGATTTCTCAAGGGTCTTTCGTAACTTGTTCCTATTACTGCAGGTTCCTAGTGGTGTTCAAGCTAAAAGAGAATTATCTTACACCTATAGTTCTATCATCTTTTTCACCTATTATATCAAACTTTTCGCGAATATTTTAAAGACCTGACCAAACGGTTCTTCGATAGAGCCGAACATCATCCCAACCCTCTGGTGGTAAGCGCAGCAAATTACCAACCCGACCAAAACGCGAACGTCAACAAGCGTCGCCCGTGAAACGTCCTCATCGACCCGGTCGAGGAAGGGGACTTAGACACAGTTAGTGCAACAACAAACACACTAGTTCGTCCTCGCCTCCGAGGACGGCGAGACCAACACAACGCGTACACAAGGTACACCCGCGTTCCAGGGCGGTTCTCACCGCCCCCAGCCACCGATTAGCTAATTGCACAGTCGACGGCCATCGGGGTTTCGGTCCGAACCACGACCTCGATGGCCCTTAGATGACACACCATAGTTAAACGCACGCATGAGCACATGCGTGGCCCTACCCACAGCGGAGGGCCCAAACCCGTGGGTTCTGGCTAGCCCACCGGTTCTGCGTCAGATGAAGCTTTAATAGTCTCGGGACTGAAAGCAAAAACATCAGTTAATACAAGATACAAGATACAAGATATATCAAACTTGGTGACGCAGTTGCTTTGACTTCGCCGCCCGGTGATTGAGATTCGATTCCCACATGGAACAAGCATTTGTGTCATCCATGGCTAATTGTTCTGGACCTGGTCATTGCCGTCGTAAAACACTTAGCCAAAACTGTTAAAAACGCGATTCACGTGTCGTACCGAAAGTTCATATGAAGAGGTTCATATTTGAGTTATCGTTAACCATTTAATCCTCTGTAAATCGATCTACTTTAAGGAGTTAATGAAATGATTGTTATTTGTTTTGGAGTTTTAAAACACACAAATAATAAATTAAACGGCTTCTATTTTAAAAAGCACGTACAGTACACCGCCATCTGTCGGTACGAAGCAATTCTTAATTTAAACATTTGTTCTCATTAGATACATTTACCATAGCTTAACATTGAAACCAAAGTCTCGTTTCAGAAAGTTTTAATTAGTTCTATCTTGTAAATCCTTGCCTCCTCTAATAATAGATTAATTCCTAGTTATGTAGTATTTTTCAGTTATCGTTTCATAAATAAAATAAAATTATATCTTACCATATTAGAGTTAATGTTGCCAGTTTCGTTAAACGCACTTATGATTTTCTGTGCTCGTTTCTGGGCAGAAGTTGCCCGTTGTTGAAGGATCTACAAAACAAAAAAAAATGGTTAAATGATTGTCAAGTAAGCAAATATACATGGTAACGCAAGAATCTAATATAATCACTGTGCTACGTTTTCTTTTTGTCTATACTTGAAACTGCGAAGGCATAATGGTTATTGGCTTAGACTGAGATCCGATCAAAGGTACCGAATTCAAATCCAGAGGCGATAGTGTTAGAATATAGTGATATAATGATAGTTAGAATCCGGAAAACGTGACGTATTTCCGTAGTGACGAAAACCCTTTTTCGTCCATTTTTTCTAAAAATTTTAATAGTACACATATAAACAAAAACAAATCGCTTTTTACCCCACTGCCGAAGGAGGGTAATGTTTTGTTTTGTTTATACTCTCTACAGCCTAAATCTTTTGATGGATTTCAACATATGAGATGTAATTACATTCGTTTCAATTGTGAGGGTAGTATTTCTAATGCAGTCGGCTTTTGCTTTTAACCATTTTTGCCAGTTACATATATTCTCATTACATTTCATTCATTCTCATGTCTCTCGTTGAATTGTCGTTGTAAAACGATATTCGAAATTGTTTGTATGCTGGAAAGGATATAACAATGGATGCGCCAAACATTGCTTCAAAGGCAAAAAAACAATGTAGATAAAGGACGTTGGGAATTTAGTCGGTGTGGCAATCAGCCGTTTAGTTTAGTGGCTAGAGCGCTACGGCGCGAATCCCGAAGACGTGGGTTTGGTTCCGATGAAACATTTGGTTCCTTTTTTCTACAAATTTTAATGTTACATTTATGTGTAACATTAAAAAATTTAAAACGGTGTATGTCATCAGGGTGAGTGAGATTAGTTCGCCCATTTTAATTATTTTTTTAATATTTTTTGTTACATTTATTCTTAAAATCACAAAAAAAAATTCTTTAAGAGTGCAATTTGCAGGGAAACATCTGGTACCAGCTGTCTTCTTTGCTCCGCCTCAGCGAGTTTCTCTTCTATGTGCGGCAGAGTGATCTCTGCGGTGGGAGGTTGCAGGAGCCTCTGTACGTGTGGTGGTGGGGTCACCGCCGCCCCACGGTTCCCGTCGAACTCCTCCAGCGGTATCTCGTAAGCAATTGCTGGAAGAAATAAAACACACTTCTAACAAAACTTTCTCTCGCTCTTATACTTAGGTGGGGACCTCAAAAAAGAGCGGGTTATGTCGGAGTCGCACCGACTAAAAAACCCCCACGATGTTGCACCTAGGCGCATATCGGCAGGGTCACGGGAACGCTTTCGAACCCGCCAGCGCTGGCCACCTCAGCAGCCCCCTCCCTGGACCATTTAGCGCGCCTTCCATTTTCACGGCCAACGAACTCAACCCGCAACCCCGTCAAATACGTCACACAAAAGTTATGATTTAAAAAAATAATAGCAACTACATCCTATTCAGGAAGACCAGTCAGGTGGCAGCGATGGTATGTGGCAGTTTGACGCGTCGTACGATGTATGTGTTGAATTGGGTATTTCAAAATTAATTCCAACACATCCGATACCACTGTATCGTATCATTATCATTATAATCTTTGTATTATTTACTTACGACTTACGACCAGAGGGGTCACTGGCTATTTACGAAAAGTGTCAGCTGAAAGTCACTCACGTGGCTTCGGCCTCGCTGGCGTATCGGGCAACACTACCGTCGGCAGGTCGTCGTCGTGGTGTCCGTTGCCGATGAGCTTTGCGTCGGTCGTGACCCCGTCGCTAGCCGCGTCGTGACCGGAAACCACTTGGGCGGAGGAGCCGCAGCCCATTTCGTAGGCCGTAGCACTTCCGGTCCGCTGATCACCATCCACGTCTCTATCCAAATCTAAACACTCGGTTAATGAAATCCGCTTCGTCGGCATATTTCAGTCAGATTGAGGCTTTTATTACGATTATGTTAAACGGAATACGAGTTTTTGGGAAAGAATACAATTATTACGTCCGCTGTGCGGCCAGTGTTCAACTCAAAGTCAAGTAGTAAACCTTTTTTATATAATCAGCTTGCAGTTCACGTAATGTTAAGTGATAGCCGCCGCCCATGGACGTTTGCAACACCCGTAAGGTTGCAGATGCCACTGTTTAATAAAATGGGCCCCGGCTACGTCACTTACACTTCACGCCGGTCTTCTGCGAGGTCGAGGTACTTCCCCGAACGGCCCTGCCCATTCAACTATGCTGTGGTCCTACCATACTGTGGTAGGGACTTACTTATGATGCACAGTCATATATGAACATACGTGTACACTATAATACATGTAATGAGTTTTATTTTGTTCCATAGTGTTAGTGTTTTATAATCTAAGAGTTTTGTTGGTTTTTATAAAGTGTCAAACATGTACAGAAGGAACTGCATAACTATTGGATCTCTCAATCCTGGACACGCAAAATTTACGAAACGGATGAGAATTTTCTTTGAACATTCATCAACATATTATATTAATTTTGTTTTATTTAATTAATTTTTAGTATTTGTTGTAATAGCGGCAACAGAAATACATCATCTGTGAAAATTTCAATTACAGCCTGGTGACAGACGGACAGACAGACAGCGGAGCCTTCGTAATGGGGTCCCGTTTTACCCTTTGGGTACGGAACCCTAAAAATCAGCTTTGAATTCGGAGAAATTATAACATAAAGGAAATAATAGAAGAAGTAAAATGGTAGAAGACTGCTAATTTCCATTGCACTATATAGCACACACTTTTCGCAACTTATCACTTTTAACGTAGTAAAAAAGAAAGGGTGCCATTTACCAGTCACAAATATGTGCACTGATATTTGTCACTGGAATGTAAGGGAGCTATACTTCAAATCACGATAGTTCCACACTAACCTAAACTATTGATTTATTTTGAGTGAATAACAAAAGCCTTGTAATGTTGAAGTCCTTTGAACCGTGCACGGCCTACTTCTGCATGTATACATTCTATGTCTTTTATTCTACCTAACACCGTACAGCCTCGATTCGATTATACTCATGTACATGAAAACAACAGCAAATAAAGCTACGTAAGCTTTACGCTACTTAACTTGCGAAATTACTTCTAAATCAAACAAAGACTAGGGTATTTTTCTAAACTAGCTATAATTCCTCTAATCTCCACTGAGAATTCATTGTTTTTAAGAAAACTTATATGTAAAGGAATAAAAAAAAAGTCAATACTTCTTTCCAAAATATCTGATTATTCTTTTTGTCTATTAAATTGAAGCCTTCTTTGTATCCTAAGTGTGATACAAAAGAAATATATATTAAAGAAAAGATCATGTTTACCAAACGCTGCCTAAACGTCGTTGCATAAAACGCTGCATAAAACAAATAAAAATAAACATGCAAATGACATCTGCAGAATGATAATTTGTTTTATTTTTCTGCTCAACCCAGAAGCGGTGGAAACTAATCAGGAAATATCACTGGCAATCCATCCTGTTTCCCGCGTTTTACGAGAGGAAAGCGCGCTAACAATCCTGCCAGCGAGCTTCATACTTCGGGGGATTTTTAATCTGAGCCCCAGTTGCTTTTTTATCTGTACACATACGCTGGTATAACATACGGTTCTGTGAACATGAACAAGCGATTGAGAAATAATAACGGAGGGAAATAAAGCCTTTTTCTATATTTAAATGTTTAAATTGTTTAAATTGTTTTTAATTGTTTATGTAATGTTGTAATAGTAACTACATGATATACAAACAATGTATAATATTACAAAATAGTCACAAATACAAATGTATCTTTCATGTAGACATATGGGCTTCTTTGGTGCGCAAAAAATGATGTCCACGAGCGGCGGTAGTTACTTAACATCAGGTGAACATCTTGATTTTTTCAACCAAAGATTGTAATTGTTTTCCTGCCATTATATTTGGTATAATGAGGAATCTCTTAGTTCTTAACGTTCAACATAGTATTGCTTGAATGTCTGTTTTTTCTCTAAAGCACTATAGCGTACAAAAGACACCAATTGCAAGGATTCGAATGGACACACATTCGAATGCAAGGATTCGAATGGACACAAATTCCTCAAATTGACATGCACCGCGTATCCATTAACAGATTTAAGAAATTTATTAAAGAAACACTTTTTAAAAAGGGTTATTATAATATAAATGAACACATTCATGATATTAAATAACTCTTGGGAATGAGGTGATCGCTCCTAAGCTGTTTCTAAAAAAATGGTGTACTAAATAAAAATATAATTTTTCGAGACAAAGAATAGGATACCTACGAACTTTATTACTAAACGATTATAGATTTAAAAAATGACTACCATCGATAAATAAAAAGTATATTTCTTACCTCGATGAATACATGATTTGATTTGATTTATCGCGTCGACTCCAATAAAATAATGCGCAAAACGATATGTTATATATTATTTAACATATGTTCAGTGTGCGGTTCTAATTTCATATTCATTGACTGCAAATTGATCGTTACTAGTGGTATCGTGTGAACTATAGCCCACCCTTACGAGAAAACCACCCAAAAACATTCGAGCAGATATAACCGAAGTCTGTTTGAATGGCGTCGCCGGTTGCTTTGTATTTTGATTTCGGACATTGCATTGTATTTGCTATCCTCACTGGGAGTACAATAACAAAAAGAACACTCTAAGGGAGTGAAACAAGATCCTTGTTTATCTTGTAACTTTCCTTGAGAACGTCACGAAAGTGCTGTGGACTAGATTCGGACCGACAAATTTTGAATGTAAAAAAATGCTTTCTTTTTTTATCTATCCTATTTTTGGCAAATAACAAATTGTAGTCAAACGTCTGCGAACAGTAAAACTATTGACAACAGAGTTATAAATTTTAATGTCATTAATCGTCATTTTAATTTCAGCCTGTTTGCTGTTTGCTGAAATCAGACCACCCCTACAGAATGCCACGAAGCCCGATCCAGAACTAACTGCATCCATCGATTTCCCGCACACTTGCACAAAATTCCGTTATGAGGCGGCTAATAATAATTGTTCAAATCCAAAGTAATAAAAACCCTAAAATTTGTATCCGGAAGATATTAAAAGGACTGAAATTCTCGGACATTCCGAGTGTACAATTTTTAACAATGAAAAATATACTAACACTAGCTGCTGCCCGCGACTACGTCTGCGTAGATTAGGCTGAAGGCGTAACATTCAGACAGAAAGACAGATTTCCTAAAAATATGTATATAAATTATAGCCTATGTCTAATTCTGATGCTACATTATTTTAAAGTTTCATTAAAATCCATTCAGTAGCATTTGCGTGAAAGAGTAACAAACATCCATCCATACATACATACTTTCGCCTTTATAATATTAGTAAGGATTTTTAATTTTGATACCGTAGAAAGACTTGACGTGGCAGCCACACACCGTCTATTATGTAAATAGATCGAACATCGTACTATCCAATAAATATAAAATACAGTGTAAGTACAGCGAACGCCAACAAAGCACTATTTCACTAGCAACAATCGTGGTCTAAATATATAGTAAACTCGCCACAGCCGCTTGCAACACACAATCGAATCTACAAAATAACACGGAAACACGAAGAAACCGTCCAATATCTGGCGCATCGTCGGCACTACTATCCGATTGGATTAATATGGGTTTTATTTTCACCTGGCCGCAATTTCTTTCAGCCATCGATAGTGGTTTGTAGGGCTCTCTTGTGGTTTTGATACTTTTAATAGTTGTGATTTTGGTGTTGCTTGTTCTACGTAAAACAAACTTCAACCCACTACAAATGCAACCTCGTAAAACGTGAATTGAGTTAAAAAGAAATTAAGATTTGTTAAAATGTGAAGACTTATATTTTTGTAAAGGTATGTAGTACATAGGATACCCATGTGATGTATTCACGTTTGTTTCTATCTAAAAAACCAGTAGTTTACATTGTAACGGAAATTCCAAACCATTGGTCATAGCAACTGAATATTTTGTATTGTAGGTCCTTCGTATATAACGTGTTAAATTTATTTGGTATTAGTTTTGGATATTTGATTATGGAAGTACGTCAATTCCGAAGTAAAGAATTGTAAGGAATAATTAAAGAAAGCAACTAGTTACCACATCCTGAAAATTCTAACACTAAACAACTAAAATTTCGTTCCCTTAAGAACAAAATTCGACATGTCTGACTGAAACCTAAGCCAAAAAAAAAAAAACGAAGAAGAAACTGTGTGTCTGACAAGTTACACAAGCCAGTTAAGTTAGATTGCCTCAACTGTGGGACTTACACCACAATCTTCAGCCGAAGTATATTCAAGAACCGTTAAACAATTCTCCCAACTTGAGAAAAGTAAACGTGGCTCGGCTTGGCCTGCTAAGAACAGATATGCTTAGTTAAGCCCAGTTTCATTTAATAATATCAGGTGGTTAAAATTTTAAAAGAAAGCTGTGAAAGAACTTTGAGTAGAGAAAACCCGACAGAGATTGTTAGATCTCGTTTGCAGTGTTAGCAAATACATTGGTTCTTATGAAACATGCAAATAGAAATTAAATTAGTGATGAAAAAAAGTGATACTTGAAAAATTTGGTCGTCAACGAACGTATTTTGTATTGGGACAAAAAAAATATAAAACATTATTTCCAATTTCTTCTATAAGCTACATTTTTAAACGCGGTACATTGGATACATATAGTTAAAAAAAACTAATTAATATTATTAAATGTAAAGTATCAAAACGGTTTAAACCACACACATTCAGGACTCTAACAATGCTTATACAGAAATTACTGTCAAAGACCAGCCCTGACAATATCGAGGACAAGGACAACAAAGCTATGGAGTCGTAAATCTACAGTTTTTTAGCTTTCGTGCCTTAGAAGAAGGTAGACAGTCTTGGAAATATCTGGTGACATCCATGA